GTAAGTTCGAAATTTTCATAGTGCATTTTTACTTAGGTCTAGATATGATAAACTTAATGCCTATAAATCTATCCCAGGTTACGAGGTGTGGTTAGTGAATGGAATTAGTGAGACCTTCACGTCTCCCAACCATCCAAACAATTATGGCAGGGGAGACAGCAAGAGATGGGTTTTCTGTGTAAGTATTTTCATCTCCAATATATTGCTGAATAATAATGGAAGTAAAAAAGTAATTCTGTATCTTGATAGGTAAATACTTATGATCGTTACTACTACTGCTGCTAATGTCACAACTTTAACACCCAGCACTTCATTTACAACACCATTTTGGACCTGAAGATTCTACTTATGTTATCTCGCACTCTTCTATACAGGCTGTTGACCCCAACGACCACATTCAGATATCTTGTAGCGACTTCAATGTTGGTGGCTTCTTCTTCGATTGCACTGACGATACCTTCACCATTTCCAACGTGGACTCCAATAGGCAAGTAACTTAGGAGTTCGTGCTGATTCTATGATACTTTCTACATGAACACTTTTCCCTGTTCCACAAATTCTGCAGGGAAGCATGGTCTCACGTGAATTCTTCGGTCATGAATATCTCCATATTTCATGTCGTGCTGTATACAGTTCCTCCTTCATTTCTGTAAATTGTACATACATATTTATTTATCTATTAATTCATAGTAACAACAAGTTCTGCTCAACTAACGGACCAAAATTCGTGGACACGTCTGAACGCGACACCGTGGTCACTCTGTCCACCGGGTCGGCATTCGGATCTCCGGGTTTCAGCTGCACTGCCACGGCGCGCAGAACCCTGTGTCAGGACCCTGTCAATAGAGATCGTGAGTTCGAGCGGAATTTCATCAGTCGTGTAACAATCCATAATTTGATGTTGCATTAACTTCATTCCTATTGCATATAAAAAATATCTGTACACGTACAAGGGTGTACGTGTGTGAATAAACGTACATAGATATGTGCACATATAGGTATGTACGAACAGACTGATAGATTGATAAACAAATTATACATACATACATACATACATATATATATATATATATATATATATATATATATATATATATATATATATACATATATACATATATATAATATATATATATATATATATATATATATATATATATATATATATATATATATATACACATATATACACACAATGTTTATACACACACATATACACTTATGCATACACTATATATATGTATGCATATGTAAGTTCATGTATATATGTACGTGCACGACACACACACACACACACACACACCACACACACACAACACACACACACACACACACACACACACACACACACACACACACACACACACACACACACACACACCATATATATATGTATATATGTATATATGTATATATATATATGTATATATATATATAAATTATATATATACATTTATGTATATATATATATATATATATATATATATATTATATATATATATATATATATATATATATAAATTATATATACATTTATGTATATATATATATATATATATATATATATATATATATATATATATATATATATATATATATATATATATATATATATATATATATATATATATATATATATATATATATATATATATATATATATATATATATATATATATATATATATATATATATATATATATATATATATATATATATATATATATATATATATATATATATATATATTATATNAAGCACTTAGAAAATCTCTTTTTATTATAAAACAATGAGAATAAATTGAACACTTCATAAAATAATGCAAAATCTAAAACAAAAATCTAAAAGGGACAGGAACTAGTCCCCTTAAAAAGAACTTAAAAAAAAATAAAAAACTTGAATGAATAACAAAAGTATGTAAAAGAAAGGAGCAATAAAAGAGAGCACCAGCCTTTCGGTTCTTTCCCCAAATGTATAATCATCTAAAGTAACACTTTGCCACAAAAAAAAAAAAAAAAAAAAAAAAAAAACACTTTTCTCACGACCACTTTACCTGCTGCAGTATCACAACCAGCAATAAAAGGTAATCCATGATAAAACAAAATAAAAAGGGAGGACAGCCTAGTCTAGGGTGTCCCCACCTCCACCTGCAGCAACTGCTGTTCAAAGGTGAGATCCTCCTAATTACACCTGTGCTCCCAAGGAACACAGGTAACAGGGTGAGAATGTTTACTCTAAATGTATCTTTAATAAATCCTTTTAATGGTGAGTCATACGGCCGTTTCCAAAATAAGCATTTCTTTAATATAAAACCTTTAAAAAGAAAAATGACAAATTAAAAATGAAGATATCTTTGATTAAAAAAAAAAAAAAAACGTAATTAAAGAAAACTTCCAGCCGTGACTCGACTATAAATACGTTTTCCACCGTTTAAGCTCTCATCTATTTTCTCTTTTAGAAGCTGGTGCTCTATGCTAAGAAGAGTGGCGGGCTGTACTAAAAAGAGTTGTTATTCTCTGACTTCCGTAAAATACTAGACATATATTAAAGTAAAAATAAATAAAATGTATCCGCCCCCTGGCCATGGTCCGAGGGTGCTCCCCTCCTCTTGAAAGGAAAGGTGTCCCTCTATTAAATGGGCTCTTTACTTACGGCTTCATCCTCCCGTCTCATCGCTATATTCATGCAACCATAGCGATACATCTTGATCAAACCGGACGTGCAATTCCCGTAGAGTTTTGTTCTGCGGGACTTCGAGATTATATTTGGATGCCAGGCTTCCAAGGGAGAGACTAATTAAAATATTGCACGTTTTCAGTCCACTACAATACCTCCCATACCAGCAAACCACCTCCTGGTGTTTGAACGTTTCAGGAGCTCTGGAAATGGAGAGCAAGATCATGGAATAGAAGCTGTGGTAGATCCTAGAGAACTTGGGAGGGCACCAACCAGGACTTCGAAGACTGCAAACTAGAGAGAAGGGTTTATTAGTGGTCTGATAAGTATAGTTTAGAATTATATACTAACAAGACTTTGAACCGACTGGTGCTCACAATTTTATGTTACAGACATACTTCCCTTTGGAACACTTCCCTGTGCCTGGTGGTGCCCAATCCTTAGTCATCATCGGAATCTGTTAGCTCGTATCGATGTGAAGGCTGAGGGTCTCCTGGCTCTGGCTGGTTTCTCTCTTCCATCTGGGGCAGGTAACAGTCTCCTGACGGATCTTTGGGGTCATCTGTGTCGTCAGGGAGGTCATCTGCATCATCATTCGGGTCATCATCCCTATGCGCGGAAATCGGGTCCCTTACGATGTAAGTGACTGGGCAACTTTGTTTTAATACCCGAATAGGTCCTCGCCAACGTGGTCCAAGCCTGGATCGATGTCGCCGCATCTCCGGATGGAAGACTCTTACTAAGACAAGGTCTCCTACCTCTGGTTCAAATCTTCCTCATGCACGACGATTGTAGTCTTGTGCCCAGCGTTCTCGGGCATTTCAGGACGTTTGTACAGCAGTTTCTCTGGCTTCCTGTAATCGCCTTCGAAGGAGTTGAGCAGCCTCTTCATCAGCTTCTTGAAAGTTGGTAAGGGCTGTGGGGAAGTAATTGTCTCTTCCTAGAAGCAAGTACAGTGGTGTTTCGTTGATGCTGCGGTGAATTGCGGTGTTGAGAGCCAATCTTACGTGAGGAATTAACTTTACCCAGTTGTCTGGATGTTGTTCTGCTAGAATAGAGAGTGATTTTTTTACAGCCCTATTAGCTCGCTCTACCATCCCATTAGCTTGGGGGTGATATCTTGTCACATATTTGGTTTTAACTCTGAGCACTTCACATACCTGTCAGAAGAGTCAATTCGCAAATTCAATCCGCTGTCGGTGAGAATGGTTCTTGGAGGGCCGAATAACGTCACAAAATGTTCGATAAATGCATCTGCGACGATGCTAGCCTCCTTGGAAAAGAGGGTGACTTACTGTAGATACCTGGTGTTGTGGTCGATGATAACAAGAAGGTATCGATGGCCGCTTGTAGATCCTGCCATGTCAATTAAATCAGCGGAGACTCTTTCGAGCGGCTGGGTTATCTCTGATGAAGCTGCAAGTGGCGCCCTCCCGGCGCAAGCATCTGTAGAAAGTAATATTGATCCCAGAGCTTGCAGTATGTTCTAAAGATGCCGGGATGAGCTGCATCCTCTGAACCATGGGCTTGTTTCAAGGCTTCCTCTCGTAATGTTCTAGGAATCACAAGATGCTGTAAGATGCGTCCAGTGAGGAGCCTCGTATGATACAGCAGTCCATCTTGCATTTTGAATTCTTCAAGAGGCAACGGTAATCTCCGTCTTGGTGGCCGACGTTCCCGGAGGTATGCTATAATCTCCCGCCATAACGGGTTCTCTTGCAGTGCATTAGCTATTATCTGCGGGCTGAGAGGATCATCAATTACACTGACCTTGTGACTAAGCAAGTCTGGTACTCTGTTCACAGTTCCTGGCTTGTATTTTAAGTCATAGTTATAAAGTGCTAACTCATGACCCGACCTTGTCATCTGCAGAGATCTTGTTTGCTTCTTGAAAACAGCTACTAGTGGCTGGTGGTCGGTGAAGATATAAAAAAGTCTCCCATTCAACGAAGTGTCTAACAGTCTCTACCACTGCCAGAGCTTCAAAGTCAATGGGTGCATAATCCTTCTCCGAATCATGCAGCTTCCTAGAGAAGTAAGCAACTGCCTGTGGTCGTCCTTTATCATCTCGTTGTAAGAGACATGCCCCGATTGCAACACTTGAGACATCAGTATGGACCTCAAAACGTCGTTGAAAATCAGGTTTCCTCAACACCGGAGCAGCTGTCAGATGGGCAATGAGCTTTTCAAATGCTTCCTGCTGGTCTGGACCCCATTTAAATTTCTTGTTCTTCTGAAGGAGTTTAGTCACTGGGGCTGCTACTGTTGCATAATGTTCAATGTGGCGCCAAAAGAACCCAGTAGCACCTAAAAACTGGCGTACTTGCCGCACTGTCCTGGGAGGCATAATTTTTGAGATGGCCTTTACTTTGCTGGGGTTAGGAAGTATACCTTTTGGGCTCACCAAAATTCCTAAGAATTTGAATTTATTTTTAGCAAACTGGCACTTACTGATATTAAGCCTGAAGCCTGCTCGTGCTAGTATATGTAAAGTCTCATCCAGGTGGGCTAAATGATCTGCGAAGATATGCGAGTAGATCACTATGTCATCCAAATAGGCTCAATCATGACGACCCAACACAGGGCTGAGGACGGCGACAATGGCTCGCTGGAATGTCGAGGGGGCCGTCGCCAACCCAAATGGCATCCTTCGAAATTGGAAAAGTCTGTAGCCGTCACTAAAAGCGGTTTTTGGACGATCTTGAGGCTCTACTTCTATGGTCCAGTTAGCCGAGCATGCATCCAGGGCCGTGAACCATTGCTTTCCTGAAAGATCATCAAGAGATTGATCTAGTTGTGGCATAGGGTAAGTGTCGATAACTGTCATCTTGTTCATGTTACGGTAGTCAACACAAAAACGAATTCCTCCATCCTTCTTTTTAATTAAGACTACCGGTGAAAGCCATGTTGACTTCGAGGGCTCGATAATGCCATCTGCTAACATCTCATTACATTCCTTATGTATTGTGGCACGGGCGCTCTCCGACAGACGCCACTAACGTGTCCTGATGGGTTGGGCATCTTCGGTTCTGATGCCATTCCGAATTCCAGGAAGACATCCAAGTTGTGCATCTTCATCAAACAGACTGGGGTACCTGTTAATAACATCTAACAGATCCAAGATGCTCCAAATCTGCTGCCGGGATCGAAGTCTCCTGTCATACCATGTTGCCGATAGTCCAAACATCTGTTTTCTGGAGGGAAAACCATAAATTCATTGCTGCTTTATCCAAAGTCTGTAACGCCATATATATTATCAAACTCATCGGTTTCAAATTCCTCCTCTTCAATTGGAAAGTCCAAAACTTCACTCTGTAAGACCTGAGGTTCCAACTCATTACCTTGAATAGGAGCAGCTTCCTCCTCCTGAGCAGGAGAATCAGTGGAAGCCAGGACCCCGCTGATATGATCTAGCCGTGCAAGACTAATACCTTGCTGAATTATAATCTGTTGTTAACCACCCATATATTTACCCTGCTGTCTTCAACATCTGTAACTCCATAAGGAACAAGGAGTTGGGCTGTGCAACCCAAAACCACTGCTTGCAAGTCCAAAAATGGATTACTTATTAGACATTCCACATACCTTCCTGAACATGGAGGACAGACTGCAGTATTAATGGCCAAGGCTAAAATGTCATTATGTGCCCAGGGCCTAAAGGTCTGTACTGCGACAATTGCCTATATTCCAGCTGAGGGACTATCACTATATCGAACATTTAACTTGACACCATTAAACGTTATATAATTTCTGTGAGGCGAGTGATATGCAGTCAATTTAAAGTTAAACCTCCTCAGGACGTCTACCCCTAGTAGAACTTCCCCAGGAAATGAGACATTTTCATCAACCACTTCCACAACATGAATAAACTTTACCTCTTTACCAACATCAAAGCAAACATTAGCTTTCTCAATGGATCTGAAAGACTGTCCAGATGCCCCATGCATAGCTCGAAAAGATGGCACTGCAGATTTTAGATTTACCTTTTGCCTTGCAGTGTCCTTGAAAAGTGTTATTTCAGAATCTGTATCATTGAAACAATCCAGCATTACCCATTAACCTTCACCTGGATTAAAGGACGGCCTCTCGGCACTTTATTACTAATTAGAGTAACTGGTAATTCTCCTGTGTCTTTCCCCCCCTGACCTATCATTCCCATGGGGAGTGGAGGACTGTGGCTCCCGGCGAGCCATGGAAAAGAGACATTCACGTACATGATGATCAAGTTGCTGACACTTAAAGCAAGTAATATTCATGGGAGGTTCTCGAGGATGAGTCGTCTTCACCCTACAGTCACGACTATCATGTGATGTGGATCACAATACTTTTCCTTTGGCTTATTCTTCACTAAATCAAACTTACTGGGATTGTCCCGAGCTCTAGAACTCATTCTGATGCTCCAGCATCTTTGTGCTGCTTCAGTTAACTTAGAGGGAGGTCTTCTTGCAAAGCTAATGCCTCCCGAAACCACTGTTGCAGGGCTTGTAAAAAGACTCGCCGTATAACTGCATCAGGTAGGCCGACACTGTCTGGATAGTCTCTAACCCCCTGGTATACTACTGTTTCAATTGCCATGAAAAGATTGGCTGGAGCTTTCACTGAGCCAAGCTTAAACTCAGACGATTGAAAAAGTCAGTGGATGAAACCGTTCCCCTGAATTTCTCCCTTAATTTAAGCTCGAAATCACCCCAAGTTTATGTGCCATCAAAGATAGGAGAATTAATAACCAATTCAACCGACCCACGACATGAACTATGTGCAGCTCTAATATATGCAAGATCAGTGGGCGGTTGTACAATGTTCTCTATCTGACAGATCCAGGAC